AACTGAGTAGTAGCAACTCAGCTTTAGAGGAGTAATTCTTCAAACAGGAGTAGAAAGGTTCTCAAATGTGCATGCTTAAAACTGACAGCTGCATACCAGCCCTCCTTTATTCCCAGCAGAATAAGTGATATTAATCTTCCCCTTCTCATATTGAGGAAGCTAGGGGATTTTCCAGATATATTTGGTGATTTTTCTTCTCATGCTAAATGTGCGGAAAGATAAATCCACTGATTTTATTGTAGCTACAAGGATTTGCATTTACTCATGAAAGTAGAGAGCCAGGATCATAAATGATCTGTTCTGGTAATGAGAAACCACAATTCATTTCCCCAGTTCATGTTTTTTTATTTCTCTCCCTTTTTAAGACAGATTTTTTCAGGGCTTTTCAAAAAAGAGTGAATTCAGCATATCTGAAAGTTGTCAGCCTGGCAGCTCTGCAGACTGTAGTCTCCTATTTACTTTACATAAGAAACAGGTGCCACACAGGCAGTAATGCAAGCTTTGCTATATTTCAGCAGCATTGCAATCTGTTTGCTTCTCCCTTTATGTGGAGGTAGGATATAAACAGTTCGGTTTTCATGATCATTTACTTCTTGGCTGCTCTGCAGAGGAAGGGTGCCAGTTACTAGATGCAAACTGTTGCCGAGAGAGGATGCCAGGCTACCAGGCATGGTAATTTTGTGAAACCCATTGCTATCTGCAAGAAGGAACATAGACATCAACAATTACTTTTCAGAGTAAACAGTCCTCTCTGTGTGTACGATACGTGAAGAGCTCCTTAGATTCCTGTCCTGTTTTCTGTCTTCCAAAACTGGCTATGGGAAACCTTGCAGGTTAAAATATGTTGTCTTCTATTAAAAGACTGGTTGCTGCTCTTTTGGAGCTGGGTTCCTCTAAGAGGCTCAAATTCTTCGTGTTGGTCATCTAAGAGTGCATGTTCACAGATTCACAGATTCACAGATTCACAGAATATTTAAGGTTGGAAGGGACCTCTACAGATCATCTAGTCCAACCTTCCTGCTCAAGCAGGCACACCTACAGCATGTGGCACAGGGTGGCATCCAGGCGGGTGTTACCGTTGTCTTCTCCGGCATCCTCTGATGAACAGTGTTCTGGGGTAAAACAGGACCTCACCTGCATGGACAAATGTGTCCTGTGATTCAAAGCATTAAGACTTCTAGCTGAGGAGACCTCCACCTCACCTCTGTACTGGATTTGTATCTGGAAAGACATTGAAGTCTGTAAATCCTGACCACCTCATTTCTGAAAAGTGAACACAGACCCTAAAATCTCTCCAAATAGGTCATCAAGGAGATGCAGGACCCACAAAGCCTAGTGGGAAGCAGAGAAGAGATCCAGGGATGAAGCTTCCCATTGCACTGTGGGCAGTAAAGGCATTCTGCAGTTGCACATTCCCATCAGAGTCCCACCAGCTCAGAAAACGAGTTAAATAAGTTCACGGTGCCACATCCTTCATCCTGTCTTGCTGGTTCAGCAGTGACAGTTGCAATGAGTGCTGGAGCCACTTCTCTTTCTTACCACCCCACCTGCTTGGAAGAGGAAGCTTCCTGCTATCAAAGGCTTTGCACGTCTCTCCCACAATAGCCGTGGCCAGGGAACCAGGGAACAAATGTTACAAGCAAGAGTTGTGATCCAGATAGTGAGTGAAGTGTCAGGAGAATCCATCCGAGCTGATCACCAACTGAAAGGAGAGGGCATCGGATCGCTGTTCTAAATTTGTTTGCACACGATGGAAAAAAAAAAAAAAAAAAAGCTATTTCCATGGGGAAGGAATAAAGCGAATCCATGCTGATGACAGGTATTTATCTTGTTTTGCCAGCAGCAAGTCCCCTTTCCAAAGCACAGGCATCTGCACTAATCCCCATTTCAGCCTGAAACAATTAGCCGATCTGTGCTTTTCAGAGGCAGGACGCAGCGTGGAGCCTTTGTGGTTATTTGTGTCAGCAAACACGCATGTGGGTCCCTGCACAAACACACTTGAGATGTCATCCAGATTATGCTCCGTTTCCAATGTGAAGCCGCGGTCGCTGTTTTTTGGTGCTATCACCGACCTGCAGCATGCAAGGGCATGACTCCAGGAGCACGGTCCGCAATGTGATAATACAGGGTTAGCAAGATCACATCCCTTTGGAGTCCAGATCAGAAGCAGGATGAGCAGAGTTTCGTTGTTGGCTCTAGAGAGGACTTCTGTGCCAGGCTCCCATTCATACGCTCAAAGTTTTATGCACTGCTCTATGTTTTCCCTTTGTAAATTATGAAAACAAATGAATCAATAAATATTAACATAATGTGCTATTGCCTTGGCAACTTGGCACTTGAGACAAAAAATTAGAAACAAATTACATAAACCACCCACAGTGGGGAACTTTATAGGAAGCAAACCTACCATGGCTGCTGCCAGAAGAGTGAATTATCTGGAATCAAGACAAAAGTCCAAGTTAGACACCACAGACCCGAGTTATACACAATAAAACAAACACACCTCACCACAGACAGACGATCTGCTGCTGCTGGGTGCTGGAAGAGGTTCCTCTTCGTCCCATGAGAGTGCTTTTGCAGGGATTTGCATCAGGCTTTTGCAATAACGTGGCTGGTTTCCTAACACTCCTTTTCAGACGACCCTATAGGAGCGGATTCTGACGAAGGGTCTAGTTTTCCTAGAGGTTTTTTCCCATCTTATAAATTTTTGAGGCACCTTTGAAAGCACACGGCGATGAGCTGATTCATTGTCCCCGCACATGGACATTTTGTCTCTGCTGGATAATTTACCAGGATATATGTCATCAGCACTAATTAGCATCATCTGCTTGGGTACTTGCTACAAGTGTGATTTCTGGGAAGCGACTGGATCACATTTCATAGAGTTTAGTCTCAAGGAAAGTGTTCCTAGATTTTGGTGCCATGCAGAGGGGTTGCTCCATGGAGGGGTTGCTCCACAGAGATGAGTTTAAGTCCTGTGTTTGATTCCATCTTGACTATTTGGCACAATAATTTACTTAACAATTTCAATATTCTTCAGATCAGCCGAATTACATGGCCTGTTCTCACATGCTGCACAATTTCTAATGAAGATGAGTGCAGAACCTTTCTGCACAAATGAACTTGAGACGTCACCCCGGATCACACCGCGCTTTTAACATGAAACAATTGTTTCTGTTGTTTCAGTGCTATAACCAATACCCTGCCATTAAGATTACTTGGTACCAAGTTGTATGCACATTGCATTAAACAAAAAAACACATTTATGGCCTTGTGTACACTGTGCTTCCCACATTAGCCTCTCCTCTGAATATTGCACTGTTTCCAAAGATACACGTTAAAGAATGCGACTTTTGACAGGGAGAGAACAGCAACCCCATGATTATGGAGTGATCTTTGGCCTGTGAGTATCAGGGCTAAACTGTGCTTGGAAATTGCATGTACTACACTCTTATGCAGAGAATACAGGCTTGGACGTGCGTAATTTAATTTATTAAAGTTAGAATATATTTTAGAGCACATGCCCTCTGAAGCAGGAAACGAGTAATTTAATTTTAAATTAATTTGCTAGAAACACAGAACGACATTTGAAAGGATTGGTACAAACTTGACAGTCTGAAAGTATTTATACAGAGAGCAATTTGCTTAACCAACTGCTTCCTTTGTGTCATCTGTTATTTCAGATAGTTATATTTGGAGTAAAGTGTTTTTCTGCTCTTGATACCTCTTCTGGGGCTTCCTGTGGTGATGTGGCTTGAGAGCTGAGGCAGGTAGTTTAGGGAAGGGAAACTCTCTTAGTGTGTGATTAACTTTGAATGCCAGTCAAGCCAACAAATAAATAAGTAAATAAACAGATAAAGTGGACAAGCAAAAGTTAAATAGGTTCAAATAATTATTACTGAAATCCTGTTATGCTTGTAATTTTTTTCTCAGCATGGAAGCCCTTCTGTAAGCAGCTCATTACAACCCTTTGAAATCAGCTTGAGTTTTATTAATATTTTAGCAGTGGCGCTCGTAATGACGTGAGCGATGGTAATGCTCTGATGCGCCACGGCGCTTGCACAGAAATCCCTTGCGCTCAGATCGATAGAGCTGAACTGATTTACACCGGCGGCGGAGCTTGGCCCCAGCACAGAGCCACCAGCCCAGCAAAGAGCATCTCTGATGCCATCAGCCCAGCAAGCTCTTCCAGGGCGGTGGAGCCACCAGCCCCGGGAAGAAGCAGCTGAATTTAATGGCTCTCAAGTGGGCGGTCTTGTCTCATGTGTTTGCAGAAAAAAATAAAATTATTGCCCTGGTCCTATAGTCTGTCCTTTTTTAGCAAAGCACTTAAGGGTGTGCTCTCTTTTCCACCTGTGGTTAAGTCCCCCTGAGAGCAGCGGGTGTCAAAGTAGGCTTAAATGCTTTGCTGAATAGGAGCAGCCTCTGTGTGTTCACCTGCAATTTCTCCACATCTTCTATTTTCGGATAGCTTTTATCCTTTTCTGTACACTCTGGGTCTTCCTCCTCTTAAGTGTGAATCTTGGGTTGATGGGGTGTTTTTCCGCTCTGCTCAACGCAGCGCTGGGCATTCCTTTTTGGCCCTTCTTATACAGCCCTAAGGGTGAGTATCGCTGCCTGCCTTCCGTCACTCGGAGCACCTCTCATTATTCGACTGGAGTGCAAGCACCTTTCCTCTTTCCTTAGGTTGCTGGAGAAAAAACATCTCTCAAACACAGAAAATGGATATTGCAGGACAGTTTTCCCTTCCAGCAACAGCTCAGAAAAAAAAAGCTAGCCTATTTTTTCCCCCTTTTTTTTACAACCAGACAACTTGACATATCCAGTTGCTAAACCTCAAGAGTTACCACGTAATCTTGTGTAATCCTGTTGCTTGCCATTTTTCCTTAAGATGTCATTCCCTGACAAGTATAGTCCGGGGTATTTTCTCTTCTATCTGGGGAGTTCTCCTTAAGAAATAAACGCGCTATGAAAGAAAAAGGGAAAATAAACCCATCTAGGATTATTTCCAGCAGGAAAAGCAGCTGCAGCTGAGGGGGCAGCGATGCCAAAGCCCAGGCGGCCGGAGTCAGAGCTCTGAGATTTGCGAAGAGTTAAGTGAGTTGCACGTGGATAAGCAGTTGAAGGCTGAGCCTCCACCTCCAGTAGGGCAAAAAGAGGTAACAGCAACGACTTTCCTACTTGATACTGCATGCAATCCACAGCACCAGCTCGATAGTGCATGTCACGGGTTTATGTGGGTTTATGGCTGGTAAAAATAAGTGCTTGCCAAGCGGCAGGACAGCAGTAGTACGTAGTCGGTATTACAGCCTTATTTGAGAAGATTTTGTCATTATGAAAAAGCTGGAAAGCTTGGGAAATGCGCTTGTAAGTTAAGATACTTTAAATGGGATTCCAGGAGGTTTTGAATGAAAGCACAAATTAATCTATAACTTTAACCGTCTCACTTTAGGAACAAATATGCTTTTTTTGTTGTTTTTTTTTTCCTCAAAAACAGCTCTAAGAGTGGCATCTGCTTTGTAGATCTGTCTATGTCTTGTTTTCTCTCGAGGGCATCTGCTAACTGCATTAGATTGCCATCTTTTTTGTTGTTCTTAGAACAGTAGACCCAAGAAACTTGCAAAAATTTAAGTACCTGACGTGAAGATGGTCACCAAATAGTAATCCTGTCTGTCGTTATTTGATATTAGTCAAAGTATAGCTCATTCCTGTGTGCTCACTATGTGCACATTGACCTTTAATTTCATCTTTTAGGATTATGTTGCACTCATGAACATAAATATCAGAAATACATATTTTTGCACAGAGTGCCTCCAGGCTTTAAATTATCTGTGTCCTAATTGCTGACTGTTAGGTTTCTTTCCATTCAAATTCAATATATTGTTGATGTAATATTGCGTTTATAATTAGAAAGCATTAGTTTCTTCTGTTCAAACTTAGGAACCAGGATGATGTCCTGGGAGTTTGGAGAACTCCTTGGGAGGCTGGCAGTTGGCTGGCAGTTTTGGGGCAAAAAAATATTATAAGTAAAGCAACAAGATAACATAAATGCTCATCACACCTTTTCCAGTTCTACCATGCAAGGACTAGGGAGCCTGTGCCCAGCAGGAGCAATCCTACAGATAAATCTTTACATGGTTGGAAGAGCCACTGAGCCAGAGCTCATCTTGTTTATGCTGATTAATATTGTCAGATGGAGTAGACCTAGTTGAATTAAGTGTAGACATCTGCATCTGAACATGTCATATGAGGCACCTCAATAGTCAATGAAGATCTGTAGTTAATATAGTTAACTAAATGTGTCTCATCTCATACTGAAATCAACATTTAAATTAAATCAGATGAATCATCTTCTAAAAGTGTTTTTTTTCTCTCTCCATTGACTCTCAGGGGAACCCAGAGTAACTAGCTCAATTGTAGCTATAACTACATTGCAGAAATCTAAATTTAGGTGAGCTAAATTCCATTCACAATAACTAGCCATGAAGCATTTCTGTCAGGAACAATTCTCCTCATGAGAAGAATTCTTGGTATTTTGAACTTCATCTTCAGATAGCGAAGGCTGTTAAAGGCTTGAACTTTAGAAGGACACTCAATCATTTAACATCTCAATCTCATGAAAAAATTGATGGATATTAAAAAAAGAAAAACTTGAGCTGATTATATTGTAGATAGCAGTAAATATAAAACCATCTTAGGAAATTTTCTCAGAGTTTAAACTTTTTTAAATTTTAACTTTAAAATTAACTTTTGTTAGATTGTTATGTTGTTAGCTTATTACTCTAAAATGGAGTTTGGAAAACTATATCCTGTTTTTTGTTTCATAATGAAATTTCATAATACCACAGGAACATTCTAGCCCTGATATATTCAGCAATGTTGTGTTAAAGAAATAATCCCCATTTCCTCCCTCAAATTTCAAAGGATCTTGGGACACAAATGTCACCTTCCTATAGTAGAGTATAATTGATTCTATTTGTGGTTGCTTAGAAAGAGGTGGAGGAATATGGCAATAATCCAAAGATGACTTGAAATCAAACGGAAGTTCACATGAGGCTATGAATACCCACATGAAAGAGCAAAGCCCGAAGGGTGCTATTTTTGAAGGCCAGACCTTGCGTGGACATTGCATACTTAGAGTCCTCCTATTCACAAGTAATCTTGGTGCCGACACATAAGGACATGCTAATCTATTTGATGAATGTCCCAAGAACTTGTGACTAGCCATATAAAGTCAGTGGCTTTAAGCAAGTAGCTTAACAGATCCGGTATGCCCAATGGAGAGGACTTTGAGATACTGAGTCAATAACAGGAAGTCATGAGACTCATTGGACGTGTTCTGCATAAAACACTGTTGATGGCAGTAAAGAATACGTTATGCAATTAAAATTATGTGTATATATATATACAGTATACAATTATGCAATTCATCCTATATAATTCATTAGAAAGACACCATACAAATAAAATCAATGTTACAGGTAGAAAAAAAGCTCAGAACAAACCAGTAGATTTCTGTGCCTAAACACTTCCCTATAAAATATTTGGTACAACTTTGTCCAATCTACCTTTAAATATATCAAGCAGCTTAACTTTCTTCATTTACCAAAGGGAACGATTCACCTGCTTAGAAAAATCTCATGACTGGCAATATTCCCTTAATAAGCAGCTTAATTTTTTCCTTTTCCAGAATATCATTTCATTATTCTCTTTTGCTAGTTTTATCTGTCATTCCCTTTTTATAAATTAATACCACTTAATTTAATACACAGTTATTACCTTCCTTTTGCCTGTTTTGCCCCCTTAAAGCCATATACCGTTGCTCTTTCATTTCATTACTTCTTGTAAATGCATATCTCAGCTCCCTCTTTCTGAGACTTTTTACCTTTTTTTTTCCCAGTTTCCTCTTGCTAGTTACTGTCTGCAGCTTCTGTGTCGACACCTAAAGACAATATCCCCAATACAATTTCCACAGAACCATAAAGAGAGGAAATAATACCTCCTTCTCAAGACGTGATACTTCCATAAAGGTTTTCTGCCTCATTATAGCACACTGCAAAATCATGTCATGTTTTTGTAATATTGCTATAGGTGATTTGAAGTTAGAGATTTGGATTTCCATTCAAATTTTCCCTTTACTATATTCTGTCAATTTTTCAGCACACTCTTAACTTTAGCGTTATTATCTGTACTGTTACTGTGGCATAGTATTGGTCACCTTTTCTTTGTCTTCAGTGAAGATAATGCTGACTCCCATCCCTATAGCTCTTCTACTCCGAAGACAAAGTTATGCTCTACTTGGATCCTTTGGATGATTTTTCTCCATACAGTATTGGGCAAATCCAAGCCAACTATTTATTTATTTATTTTAATAGACTTTTCTATAATATTAATCTGGATATTTTATTAAGGTTCATATCTTGTGTGTCAATTTGGTAGATAAAGTCTGTGATCTACAAAAGCAAGGGAGAGAGGGAAAAGGTAGTTAAGGGAGTTAAGCCCTGAGCAAACTTCAACTTTCAAAGAGATTTCAATGATGTTTGCCCCTGTTATGGGCACAAGTGGTGGGTGCAGAAGCCCTGTCCAGATACTTAATACTGAGTCACTCTGCCAAGAAAAAAATAAAAATAATTATTCTCTTCAGCACAAAACCATGCACCAGTGGAAGATTTCTGAAAGGAGTTTCTGATGGATCCTATTGCATCTGCCCCAATACCTCCGCTTTCCTTATTCCAACAAAGGGAAAGGATGTATTTAGTGTCCTTTTTTGCCACTTTTTGGCCTCTTAGCACCCAAGTATCCTTTACAGACAAGAGATCCATCACAAAGTCTTTGTGTGACATGACATTTTATTCAGGTAGCCTTCAAAAATCTCTATCCTTTTCTCTTCTGAGCATTTATTGATCACAAGCGAGAGCAAGGAATTTTCTAATGTGATTCCCATGATTGCCCCCCTTTTCCTCTTCTCAAATCTCAGTACTGTGTTTACTTACTGCTGCTCTCACGATCCTTTTCAAGCTTTCATGAGCATTCAGTATTGATTGGTAATGCTGTGTTAAGTTAGCGTGTCAGATCCCTTTAAACACCATCTAGATCTGCTGATTTGTATGTTTCAGGTAATCTAGACAGTTCTTTGCTTACAGTTTTAGTTTTATCAGTTTTAACAGGCTTTCCACCCCTTTTAATTGTCTTCTTGTTGATTTTTTTTCTGTAAGAAAGAGTTTATGTTTCTAGTTAATTGAAATTTGATGAGCTTCATCTCCCTCATCAATTGTTAATATGTCTCTAGGTCTTTTCCTTCCATTACTGAGTCCATGAAAACCTTTTTAGTCCCTTTAACCTTTCTGGCAAAGAATAACCTTTGCTTCTTTTCCTGAAAGCTTTCCTAATCTTTCCCTTCTCTCTTATATGTATGATTCCTTTTTTTTTCTAGTCCCAGTACAGACCCTCTGTCTAGTGTTTTCTAAACCAATGCTTTGTCTCTTCCTTGAAGCTGTTTAAAACAAATCCTCTCCTTTTTGTCTTGCATGTTCCCTATCTCCCTTTGACGCTGATGGATTCTAGTATTTTCTGAATATTTTCCTCCTGATAAGTAACTCTAGCATTCTTGATTCTTTAAGATGTTTTCCTTGTAGTCTAATATAATTGCTCTGTATTGTGTTTGGTGGATTTCCTAACCTGTCTCTGCTAAATACAGCATTCTCATTGATAATGCTATCAATCCGACATTGCTCTAAGCTTTCTTTGATTTCTTTCTCTTGCTACAAATTATGTACAATAAGGCTCCTTTTCTCTTTGGGAACTCCTATTTTCTACATCCTACAACTGTGTATGATTTAGGACAATTTCAACATGTTTTGACATCTTCATAAAAGAACAGATAAGGACTAAATGCATTCCCTAAAGAGCAGCATCAGAAAGTTCTGACTGTGCTCAAACTTGGTATGGCATTTTTTTCCATTCTTATATGCAGTTTGTAGTCTGTAGAAAATGGGCTGTTCTCTCTATGACAGCTGCATTCTGAATATGGATTTTTAGAAGCTTTATCCATGTCTTTGACCTGTGCTTTTTGTTCTAACTTTCTTTTTCAATGTTTTCTTTTCAATTCTTTGTCATCCCTTTGAGTAGAGCATTAAAAACCCTTACCAAGACCATGACCTTCAGGATGCTGCAGTTAATTGCAGACAAGTAGCTTCCATCCCCATGTGCAAGCACTGCTGGAATGTTCAGTCTTGCCCATTTTAGCCTCTGGTTCAGCATTTCTTTAAATTTAGCTATAAATTTTGCATTGACTGTGTACACTGGAAAACCAAGGGCCCATTTTCACATTAATAATACATATATAAAGCTGTACCTATTCTCTAACTCCATCACCATCATCTTCATGGAAATAATAATTTATGTGTAAGTGCAATCTTCCATATAGCTATCTCTCGTTTAAAAGCATGGGTAAGTATTATTGTCCTCATTTCTTAAATGGAGACAATAGTATTACAAGATAAAGCACGAAAGGTTTTAGTAGGTATTCAGAAAACATAGAATAATACAGATAACAGACAATTCCATCTCCTGACTCCAAACACAGAATAAGACAGATAACAAACACATAATAATACAGATAACAAACATCTCCTGACTCCTGCTTGTGGCTATTGCACATTGCCATGATCCCTAGAAGGTCCCGTCTTTGTTGCCATCCACTGGTGTCAGATACTGCTCCAGCACAGTCAAAAACAAGCTCTGAGCAGGGATAGGTAAATATTAAGTCTTTTGCTTTAATAACCAAGCTGAATAATCAAAGAAAGTACCATTATGCATTAACACAAAATTAAATATTTTATTTTGACATATGAAATTAAAAAATGAAAATTCTGTTTTCTAAACAGAATGTTTTGAAACTTCTAAAAAAAATGACCTGAAATGAAATTTCTATTTATTATTTGGAAAATGTATTTAAACATTTTATAACTAACTTTTAATAATTTTAATATTTAAATTTAGATGAAATATTACTTGAAATGAAATGAATTTTTTTTAAAAAAAACAGCCTGAGATTTTGGTCAACCCAATTTCTTGCATAGTTTTGGTCAGCCTCAAAAGTAATTTTTGAAATAAGCCATGTCCCAGAAATGTTTACACAGATCTACTTGAGACTTGCTGGTTTAAACAGATATTATCTGTTCTTCAGGAAGTGGCAGTATTACAGTGAGAAGGAGCCCTGTCACAGATACCTATGGTGACTGCACCATAATTTTGGTTATAGAGAGACTTCTGATCATCTTGGAGGAGAAGCTACAAGTCCCTCCAAGGAGAGGGACTAAATCCACTGATTGAGTTTAGATTCAGCTCTATACGGGTTAGAGTCTCTGAAAAAAGGTCTCAGACACAGGAACTCAGCGCAGACCCTGACTCATTCTCCAGTATTTCAAGAGCTAGATCAGAGTACTGGTGGTTTGGTCTTTCTAAACTTCCACCTAGTGTTAATCTGCAGTGGTTGTTCACTATCTTTGTATGCTTTATTTCTAGTTTACTTTAAAATAACTCTACATTTTAACTTTTTTATTTGTTATTCATGGGTCAACTGTTCACTCAGCACAGAATAGCCAGACCTATCACTCAAGGAGTGGGCACCCTATAAAGTGCATGGAGATTTCTCTGTGGTGATCACTTTAGCTGGGATATTGGTTAGCAAAAACAAAACAAAAACAATCCGCTACTTCCTTCAGGGCAATTGATCAATTTGTTTTCCTCGTCTTTGCTCATGTTGACAACAAGCTTGATGAAATCAGTCTTTCTGAAGGCAGCACAGTGGATTTGACAAATCCTGCAGAATTGTTGGAGCAGATACCTGAGTTTGCCGAGGAGCTGATGGAGCCTGAAGATTGCTTCCCTGAAGGTAAGGGCCTGCCTATTTCACTGCAATGCCCAAGTGAGAAACCTCTTGTTCTCTTATTCAGCATGTCTCCATCTTCACACTAGGTCTCTCTGATTGCTTGCAATAGTATTTCTCTCAATGCATTTCGTTTCTCTTATACTGGAATGCCCCAAACACAAACTCAGAATTGCTTGTTAACATTAGTCTTTGAATTTTCAAAGTGTGATAAAAGCTGAAAGCATGTTCCAAGTTGCTGTGTGGCTTCTGACTTGTTAGATTTATTTTTTTTTTCATTTGCGATTTGTGCCTTCAGAAAAAAAGATTTTTCTAATGTGGCCAATGAAGGTTTTTGCCTCCCAAAATGCATGCATGATCAAACCTGGTAGAAAACCAAGTCAAGCTGTTTCTATTACTTAAATGTAGCCACTTAGTAGAAACTGTCTTCAGAATGTGAGAGATCCATGGAATCTATTGATTCTAAAAGGCATAAAGATTATCATATTCAGTAACTTCAATCTGACCATGAAAGTGCTAAATTTTACTTAATAATGTTAGGTAATGACAATTCACATTTACATAACCACTATCAATACCAGATTTCACCAGCATTTTATTAATTTTAACACACTGCTACCCCAAAACACAGTGTTAAAAGCTAACTGCATCAAAAAGACCTAATCTTTAGCTAAATCTGCAAGGTAAATATAATCCTAAACTATTTTCTTCCCAAAGGTCTATTCTAAGTGATAACTCAGTCAGTTTTTTCATTTTGCTTTGAAGCTGGGTGAGGGGAAATAAGAGTAGTTGAATGTTAGTGTATTCCTTTGAAAATTCAAGGATTATTATATGCAACAATAGAGCTGCTCAGATGGGATCAGACAGAAATGATTTACGAGGTATATGAGTGCCCCTAAAGTCAGCAGAAATGTGCATCTCTGTATGTGTGAGGAAGATGACTGAATTGGGTAAGAGAGCCCTGCGGGGCTTACAAATGTCCTGTGGATCTAAACATTATTTTGGCAGCTCTGTTTAAAAGTAGTAGCCAAAAATTAATGCAGTTGACTGAAGAAAGCATGGTGCTCTGCTGTAACTATTCTGGTATATAAAATAGTATTTCAAAATTAGACCTGAAGTTTCCGTTCTTTCACAATATATTTCTTAACGAGGATAGTGAGCAGTGATCTATGTCATGCACCACAAAGCAAGAAATTAAATTATGATTCCACAGAGAAGCCTGCATTAAAAACATGTTGCTAGTAGGATTTCTCAGCCAAATGCTGTCAGCTTACGAGTGCCGAAGCTGTGGTTGGCCATGGTCACCCTCCAGTTTTGTGGCAGGGATCACACACCTACTGCTTTGCTCAGTGTGCAGTTCCAGAGCAATCACACTCTGTAATATCCTCTTTCTTCATTAACCAGAAGAACTCCCTCAAACCCCATCAGGCAGAACCTCATCAATTCCAAGCCAATTTAGCAGGTCTCCTCCCCTGGCATTAATGGGACATGCAATAACGGCTGCAAGCTTTTCATTTCTAGGAGGAACAGGCATTGGAAATATGAAGTTGCTTTGGAAGTCCCTCTGTCATTGGGATTGCAGGGAAATGTAGAAATTACAACCAGGTGGGCTGAGTCTCAGATTTGCCAGTGGACTGCGTTTTATTCCTTACGTCTTCTGCTTCTTTATCAGTCCTATTCCGGTCCTCATCAAAATTAAAGTCACTGTGCAAAAAACTCATGTTCCCAGACAGTTCTTATTTCAAGAGCATTAATCTTTCTTTTTATCATTCACGTACAGAGAAACAAAGTATTTTATAATTGTCTTCTATTAACATCCATCTAATGTTTTTCCCTAAACTTGCCATTGTCATGAAGCCTCACAGACACATCGTTTAAAAAAAAATTATTTAACTAATATAAGGCAAAATTACGAAGTATTAAAATGAAATTATTGAAGGGTAAGCACTGAGCCCTTTTCCCTATTGTGGCATTTACAGTCTAATAGTAAAGAGCTACAAGATTATTTGGTATATTCAGGAAAGTGACCACCTTGTGAAAGACAGAGATTAGGTCAGAAGATGAAGGGTTAAGTTGTTACCTTATTATCACACCAGCTGTCTAAATTCAAACTATGACATTTCTAAGCACATTCAGCATGGGTTGTGTCCTGAACAAATATGTTCAGGATTCAGTCCCCTTTTTCAGATAACAAAGGCAATGCAGATAATGCATGTTCTTGAAATAGTTGCTGAAAGTTTGCTGAGGTCACAGTTTTCCCGTAGGTGGGTGACCCAGATTAGCCTCAGGTCATTTTTCTTGGGAAGACTTGCTAATTTATCATTTATTGTTATCATCTCAAAATAGCTTTGATTAAAGTCAACTGACAATATTTTTAGGTCTTGGGTGAGGCCAAGGTAGAGTCACAACCCTGGCAGCTGTGAAAAAAAAACTTATAGAACTGGAGAGATCATTCTTGTTGGAGTTGGTGGGAAAGCACCACTTAGGTGCCAGCTACTGGGTAGTTTTCTTCCAGATGCCTTGCAACACTCTAGTCTTGTTATCTCCATTGGTATGTGCTCTCTCCACATCACAAATTGCTGTCTATTTGGACATTATCTTCTGTGTCCAGAAGGTCATCCAAACGGAGCCCCTGGCCCCGACACTCTTGTCTCTCCCGGACCCTAATAGGAGAAAATTTTCACCAAGTCCTCAAGCGTAATTCCCCAGATACAGGCTGCTGGCAAATGGTTCAAGCGAGTATCATCAGATGTTTGTGCTGGAATGAACTACCTTGCTCAACATGCGGTTGGTTGCAACTCGTGACACCAAGGACGTTCACAGCCCTATTTTCATGTGACCGCATAGGGGCGAGTATTGCAGCCGGAAAACTTGTTGCGCTAAAGCGAATTTATTCTGGCTAATGGTGGAAAGCTGTGTCACATCCAGCCCACTAACTGTTAACGGCTGTTCAGAAATAAAAAAAATGAAGAGGAGCTTAAATAGAGCAAGTCTAGGCTGAGCTGTAGCTGCTGTTACCAGCTGATGCCTGAAAGCTGAGTAAACCAAGTCTAGCTGAGTATGTAAAGTGTTATCCTAGAAAAAAATCACAGACTAAAACCACATTTTAAAGGTTTTTTCTTACTCTAGTCATCCTACCTCAGACAAACTGCGCTTTTCCATCATGTAGAGCATGCTACTATTTTATGATATGGTTTTCAAGCCTCAGAAAATACCTCCAGACGTACTGAATGTATAGAAACAGAATAATTCAAGTTGGACAAGACATCTAGATTTCAGCTTGTCCAAGGTGGGTAGATATGGCGAGTTTGCCTCAATTCTGTTCCCTCCACTTCTACCAGTAGCTTGGGAAGTCTTTTGGGGACTGTAGACAGGAAGAGTATAATGAGGCTTGCTTTCTTGCTTGAGTATGCACCACTAGCCAGACTAGTCTTTAGAAACCCAGCTTGGCAGATATATATCAGAACAACATTATAAACATCTGTCAGCTTGAATTTGGAGTGAGGAAGGCATGCTTGCTTTATCTCAGACCAAGAATTGCTTTAACCCCTTTCAAAGCCAAGCAAAATATATTTTGTGCTAGAAATGAGTGTCCCCGTAACTGAAGAATTCTTTATCATAGTACCTACAAAGTTATTGTGGTCTGAACACAATCTAGAAGACATGCTGGATGACAATATAGAAATTATTTGGTCTTCTTGGCCTACTGAAGAGAATCAGCACCCTAGTGTTCATCTAATAGCACTAATAGATGTGCTGTCTAATTTTATGTGATTTTAAATGTATATTAGAGGTATGAACAAGCTTTGGATTGTAAAAGATATACTCAGAAGCATTAATTCAACAGATTTGGGTGCCATGCATGCAGAAGAAAGTTAGCTACCACATTTACAGCAGAGAGATCTGTTCCACAGTGCACCAGGGCAAGGCAATAACGTCTAGCAACTCCTAGATTATATTGCCCAAGAAAAAAGTAAATGCATAATGAGATAAATATTTACACAAAATGCATTTCAAATTAAATTCTTCTAATTTTAGGGTAGCTTGTTTGTCATTGTGGCAGACATGTGCTCCTTTCTTGCATGTGCAGTTTAGCACCCATTGCAATCTACAGTTTATGATTGTGCTGCAAGTCAGTGACAGGAGGGAAAAATTTGCTCATTATGAAAAACAGCAAAAGTAAATAAATTTATTTTATACTGATGTATTCATAATGGCTTCCTGATGAAAAGGTCTCTGTTTAGTGAGAAATTATATGTAATATATTCTAATGTGAGTTGAAAACAGATATTCTTGGGCAAGTCTATCACTAGGGTAGCTCATTTCAGTTTCAAGGATTTGCCAGCCAATAATTTGACCTTTTGTGTAGAACTTTTTCTGTTGCTCCATGTTTCTATTGAGCAATAACCTACTATCCAAAAGACTTTAGTGGAAATGAGTCAGTTTACTCCCAACATGACTTAGGGTAGCAAAACCGAACCCCGACTAAATAAAAAGCAGAAAACTACTTCTATGCAACCAGTTCCCTAATAGCATTGATTTCAGGGGGATAGAAGAAATCTATGAGACAAGGCAGTATGAGTAATGCAGTTACAAGAAATGCCAAGAGGATTATTTGTGTCTTGACACTTGCTGTGTTAAAAGGTGTTAATGAACGGTCTTCTTCATGTGGATAAATAGCTTTAAAGACCTGAACCTGGGGTCTGCTGCCAAGCTGCCTTGTTGCAGGAGTCAGTTGGAGTTTAATTGCTCAGACCCTTGCCAGGTCACCCCTAAAACACACTGGAATGTTTTTGATACCAGGGTCGTATTTCCTGACACTGTCATAGAAACAAGGGAAAAAAATGTTGGAATGCTGACCAATGTCAGGTAAACCTTTTTTGCTGGATTATGTAAGCTTATAGCTCTGTTTTTAAGCTTGTGTCAAGGTCACCAGAACAGTAGGGTAGAAGCAGCATGAGAAATTCAGAAAAAGCACAGGCGTTAAATAACCATCAGTGAGGGAAATCAGAAAATTCAAAATAGAACTAGACTTTACTTACTCATTAGAAGGCCTATTTGTGGTCAATATTTTATTTTTCCTTTTTTTTTAATGAGAATGTAAAAATAGCATTTTATCTGAATTGAACCACCGTGATTATTCAGGGCAATGCTACTTGACATTAATAATTGTACCAGAATGTGGTCTAAATATTCCTGAACTGGACCCAGTCAAAAAAATGGAATTTAATAGTGCTGTGAGTTTGGGCTGACTCATCTGAAAAGCTATTTTGGATTTTTCAAGGCATTACTGTCAATAACCAGGAGGGTTTTGTTTTGTTTTATTTTGTTTCAGAGCAAAATGCATGCAAGCCACGAAAGAAAAAAAAAAAATTCAGATGGCTTTATGTCTTTAAAACACAATTCCATACCTATGGAATATCAGATGAAGCTGAGTGAATCAGCAATAGCCTGTTTTTAACATTTTATAAAACTTTTGAAACACAAGTGAAATCTGAGATCTTGTGTTCTTCTCATTATTATTTAATTTGAAGATGATTCCTTTCTCTAGCCTTGCCTGCACTTAGGTAGTCAGATAGTCATGTAGTTGAAGGACAAACTCCTGCAGGGAATCACTTGCCCAACCTAGCTTAAATTGATAAGCCACAATTGCTGATCCTAACCTTTTCCAATGATGCTTATGGAGCCAATGCTGGGATGTGCCTAGGCGCTCATCTAAGACACTAAAGAGCCAAGTATCAGCCTAAGAAGTAATTTAAATCTAAAGGAGGGGGAAAGACAGTATGGAAAAAAAAATGTAAGCCTGAACAAAATGATGATATTTTCAAAATACAAAATATTAGTAGGAGCAAGATAGGCTGGTGAAAAATTTCTTCTGATAGAAGCAATAGTTTGCTACAAAAGGGCATTTCTGCTTAAAATGAGTAATCTACACTTAAGTAGTAAACATCTTGCTCATTAGGGTGCTCACAGGACAAATCTGTGCCTGAGTCCTTGTTTCTCCTGAGTTGAAGCTGGGCTGATAGTTCAACCATCATGGACTTGCAGAGCAGCACAGAGTGGGGACCAGGCATCTACAAGCTGGTAACGACCATGCTTACTGTGCAGCCAGAAGCAGTCTAGCAGTCTCAGGGCAATAGCCTCCAGTGTCATGTCATGCTGGTCTAATCATTCTGCATGGGTGTTTTGGGCTAAAATGTGGTGCTCCAGACAGAGAAATCCATGCCAGGCATCTACTTCCTAATACATACCCCCATCACCATTGCTGAGCACTGTACTGCTTTTAGCATAAAGTGCTGACTAACATGATATGCTTTTATCCTTTGACCCAATTCTTCAGTGTTTAGGACTGAAGTGTATAGAGGGATAAAACTTTCCTTTACCGGAATGGTATCTACTGCAAAGAGGTAGGGAGATGGGAATCTTTTAAACTAGCATCTTCTCCATTATGTTCTTCTCAAATAGTCTGACCTAATCTAGTGTGTTCCAGATGAACCCAGAATATCTCTGAGTCCCAGAGTATGATGATAATTCTGGAGCTAGTGTGAATCTGTATGATTTATATTTAGAGGACAAGTAGCTACTTGCATCACTATAGGTTTACCATAACATAAATTGTTTCCTTTCTTGTTAGTCCCATCCCAAAACTTTTTACAGGCAAGCATGTACATACACCTACAAACATCTTGGAGTTGGGAGACGAAGAGGAGCTTTGAGAGTGGATCACATATGCAATATATTAGCAGCACCCTGTAGTTCTGCTACATCATAGCAGGAAGACCAGAGCTAGTATAAACTTACAGAAAATGTCAGCAGAACCATAGCAGGCTTAGCAGCTCAGTTCCTCCTGGCAGAGTCTAGGACTCATAAAACCTATCAGCCCGCTGCCAGCGCAGCCCAATTCCAGCTGCATGGGAATCCCAGCATCCCAGGATCTGCACTTGATCTTCTCACAAATCACAGGCAGCTCAAGTGTCTCAGTTATGCTACCTTGAATTAGCAGCATCTGCAGTACGCATAACCTTGGCATTCACCCGCTTTCACTCACTGGCTTCCTTGGCTAAATATTATTTCTACTTCAAGTAGCATTGCATTACATCACCATAGCAAGATATCTGCTGTTGTCACCTCTGAGCACTTGCTGTATGCTTCAGACATGTTAGCAACTTGGGCCATTTCTCAGCTACTGAAACTGGAATTTTTTTATCAATTGATGGGACTGATAAAATACTACAGTAAAGTCTTTTTCTTTACAACACTTGGAGCAAAGACAAGATAAAAAAAAATGCTTTCTTGAAATTAGTGCAGTTTTTAAGGATCATTTCTATGAACATATGTTGTCGTATATGGCTAAATCGCCAGCCTGGGAAAGGACAAGTCCCAGATACCAAGGTGTGTGCTCATCACAGTTTTAAGTTCCTACCCAGCACAAATCAATGGATATGGTGCTTTTCAAACAGGAATGATCCATCCGTAAGATGTATCCATCCATAACCAATGACATCATTCTTTTGCTGTAACAATGAACTGTTGCTAAGAAGGCTAAAATTGTCATAATTTTGCCTATCTTTGCCTATACTTTTATCCTTTGACATGATTCTTCAGTGTTTAGGATTGGAGTGTATAGAGGGATAAAACTTTCCTTTTTCACTATAGTAGTTAGCTCTCGTACAATATTCATCATTGCAACACCTCTCTGAAGTGTAAAATACTACAAAACACCAGAGGAGAACCACTTTGTGGAGGGACAGCCAGTATATCTAAATTTCCATTTAAATCAAAAGGGATTTAGCTACCCAAGCACCTTCCTAAACTGAACCCTAATGCTTTGTTTAAGATCATGAAAGTACAAGAGGTCAAAATCTGTTCCTCCTCCGTGAATCGTTTCAGCACCTTGGTCCCATCTGCACTAGAGCACATCATCCCCTTGTCCCCCTTTTGTCAAATGGCCACTTTAATCACTATCTCTGGTGGTGCAAAAACAGCAAACAAACATCTTTACTACTTTCATAATGATGTTGAAACTATTGGAAATACCCTGCTAAAATCATTAGGCCCATTTAGTTGTGCTGCTTGAGCTTAGCTAATACAGTATGATTGACCTGGGGCACTGGTGACTCATTGCCAGTATTTTCTGTGTCATAAAATCATTCAGAAAGACCACTGGGGCAGGTTTTAAGTATTTTTGAGAAGAGGAGTGAAAGAGGAAACAGAAGGCAGAACAGAAATGGAAAAAAATAAGCGATCATAGTTGCAAGAAAAGAGAAGCCTTATTGCAGCTTTAATTATTAATATTTTTTTAATATTATTAATATTTTTTTAACAATTGCTTTCTTTTTTTTTTCCTTTCTTTCAGTATGTGTCCGATTCTTCCCATGCTGTTCAGTGGATATCACAAAGTTTCCAGGCAAAATTTGGTGGAGGCTGCGGAAAACTTGCTATAGAATTGTTGAGCACAACTGGTTTGAGACTTTCATCATATTCATGATCCTGCTGAGCAGTGGAGCCCTGGTAAATGTAACAGGATTTCCTAATAAGTAGAAAGTGGACTTGGATCTATGAGAAGGCAATCCCAGGCTGGCCACATTCCATATCTAACAAGCTATACTTAAAAAAAAAAAAAAGAGAGAGAAAAACATTTCTGGGACATATCTTCTACTTTTTATTTTGATTTCACTCACCTTTTCCCTATCATGGGGAACCTTCTTGAGTTTTAACATAAAATTATGATTCATAAAGGATTTTAAAAGCACACCCTTAAGGACAGTTTATGTGAGGAAGCAGCCAAGAATTGCTACTTCAGCGTCCCATAAATGTTCTATGGCCGTTCCCATCTGGAGACTTGAGATTTGCTCTATGAATATCTTTCTATTTAATTTTTTTCCTTCTTTTTTTTTCTTTTTGTACCGACTTTGTAAGCAAGAAAACATTATCTTAAAAGACGCAGTGAGTGCTGAATCAGAGTGCTGCCTACAGAATTAGTATGTGACCATCATGCTTTTAATTAAAGCTAACTTAAATCACAATAACTTCCCCATATAGATGGTTTCTGCTTGCATATGTAGAGATAATGGAGGCAGGTTGGTTATTGCCCATGACTCTGGTAAGGAGAATGATCCTCCTGAGAGCCTGTTGTGTGCTGGAATTATCTTTTCTGTGTTATCAGAGTATTCTGAAATTTACTGGCAATATGAAGTTGGGACAGGTTACAAATGCATCTGTGGAGGTCACAATCATGCCAAATGGATGAATCTGTCTTAAACATATAGCAGGAGAGCCATCTAAGAAATATGTATGCTCCATGTCATCTGGAATCATAAAGGGCAGAAAGGCAAAATGCAGGATATGTGGTAAGGTAGCAGATTTACTAAAAAATTGCTGGAAAGAGAACAGGGAACAAAAAGAGCAAGAGTAAACTACCTCATACCATTGCACAAAAGCCTAACACCCCACGGGGCTGTATAAATAGGCATGTTCTTCCACTCCAGTTGGCATCAAGGAGGCCTCAGCTGGAGCACTGGCTTCGGCTCTGGGCACTGCACTTTTGGAAAGATGTGGGCTAATTGATGAAACTCCAGAGGAAAGCACAAAAATTATCAGTGGCCTATAAAAGAGGAGCTATGAGAACACTCCAAAGTACTTGGTTTATGTAGTTTAAGGAAGTAACCTGCAGGGAGATGAGAAGATTGAAATACGTAAATGTTGATAGAAAAATGAAAGAAATACCAAGTCCACTAGGGATGGGCAGAAATTTAACCCAGGGGTTTTTATTGTATAATGAAAGGCAAGAGGCTGAAGACCTTCAGTAGACACTAGGCTGCTGAAAATTGCCATTGCTTTGCTGAATTCAAGTAGTCTGATGCTTTTGCACCAGTCTGAGGATCAATGTGTTATTTTTTTAACACATTTTAAAGAGATCACATCTCTCACTGTAGTATACTTTAGATGCACTTCCCCATGTATGTAACTAAAAATACTTCAAATACTGAATACTGAGATATAAATCTCATTTACTTTTCATTGCACACATTCTTTTACTTCATAAGTTTCAGCTTGGCTAGTGCAATTCTCTATATGGTTAAATTCTGCTGCCCTTTCTCATGTATCAGTTGTTTATATGTTTGTATGTTGTTTATATGCTGCCTGCTGTATATTTGTACTGTAAGTTAAACCATCAAAATATGTTTTCAGCTTTCTGGAAGAGATGTAAAGATGTTTCTTTTGCATTTAAGCCATCTACATAGAAATTGGGAACCTATGTTTTAATAGCATTTGTGAGCAATGTTGCAGGCATGCTGCTCTACTCTTACACAATAAGGTAGCAGATATAGCTCTTAAAGATATTTTACATAAAAAAGATTTCATAATTTGAAATAAAAAAAATGCAAACTACTGCAGTTTAGACTTTAGTGTGTTTAGTTTCTTAGAGCCTATAGTTCTTGAAGAAATGCCGTCTACCTTGAACATTCAGGCAGCATATTCTTCATGCCATGTTTAAGCTGCTTCCTGCCTCACAATTCTTTTTTAACAGAACATAGGGAGAGAAAAGTAGGAGTGGAGAGGAGGAAATCACTTTAAATGGTTTGTTGTTATTTTTGTGGTAATTGCAAAGTACCGCAAGTCATCTGACAAAGTGAGTGAGCCCCTATGTGAAGTGATAAACTCCAGTCTCTCTGTGTGTTTTTTTCTGTGGCTTTCTCCAACAGCTCTTTCACACCCTTGAAATATCATTTTCGAAGGCAAGATAGGAGACTGAGTTGCACTGAAAACGTCACCCCAAAGTGTGGGGACAAATGGACAAGCTTTGGCACTGGCTGCCAAGGCTTTCTTGTCTGTTTAATTACAGTTCCCTGGCAGGCAAGGGAGCAGTGTGACTGGTTGAGTGACAAGCAATACACTTCTTGTATCTGCAAGCACCGGGTGTTTGTTAACTTTCTGAAGTTCCTCAGAAAGTAGTTACAGATCTTGAAATATGTAAATGCAGATAATTAAGATGATTAGCACAGACCCTATCAAACAATATTGTGCTTTCTCGCTGCCAAGTGCTCCAGGTCACTCTGTGGGACAAGAATAATCTATTAAAACCTCTGTTATCCGAGTGACAAGAACATGGAAGCAATTTTTATAATGATGGTCATTTGAGTAGCTGGGTAAACACACTGCAACCATTGCTGGACTCAGCAAGTCCAAACCGGTTCATATATGTGCAAGGTTATACATATGTGGACAAACAAGAGATAAGTTATATGTGCAAATATATATTTGTGGACATATATATTCAAGCAAGATATACATTATGTGTACATTATAAAGCGAAGGCTACATTATGAAACTATATGTTTTATTTTAGTGGGCATATTGTTTTAAATCTTAAATATTTTATAGGGGTTATTAAGTTGCTCATACTTGTTACAGATACTGAATGTCTTTTGATGGTGCCATGCAGAAGATTAGTTAGAGAGACAGACGAGATGAGTAGACAGGTACCTTGACCTTTAAAACATAATTGTTCTGTTAAATGAATAATAATGAGCATTTCTTGAGGCGGATATCTGTAGCTACCTGAAATGTGATGGCTGAACAGGAGCCAGGGAACTTTGGTACTCTGTAAAACAGGCTTCTGCACGCTAATAACCCAATTTGTCATCATTAGCAATAAGATGCATTTGACTAAATGTAAGGGTGGGATTCTGCTGCTTAAAGACAAGCATCCAATGCCCTTGGAAACACGCCAGAGCCCTGGGCTGTCTGAGGTGTCCACAGAAGAGTGGCACAACCAGCAGCAGCAGAGGCAGAACACACTCAGGCACGTCAAATGGCTCTAGGTGTTTGTGTGTGAGACCTCCAGAGCAGCAGCCAGCTCACAGGTTCACAAACCCAGATGTAGGATGTCTAAGCAAGGGACATCTTGTCAGTACAGCCAGCAGAGGTTAGTTGACCATCTAGAGTCATCTAGACCATCTAGTCAACTAGAGTAGGCTGAAGAGATCTCCATCTATTGGAGCTGGAGCTTAGCCACGTATGCCATTCAGATTCATATACGCACATGCACTGAATTTCACTCTAAAAGACCCAACTGATGATCCGTTTGAAGTTAATCATATACCCAAAGTTTAACCTGTATTGCAGGGCCATAATTAATATCAGTCCTATTCAGCACACTTGTTTTGATACTAACATTAAAATATATCAAAAATCATAGACAGTTCCATCAAACATTACTATTTCTGCAATAAAGCACTGCTGTTTTCCAGCATAGTTCAGTAGAACACTTCTTAATCAATTTTTTGTACTTCTAGGCTTTTGAAGATATTTATCTGGAAGACCGAAAAAATATAAAAACCATGCTGGAATATGCTGACAAAATATTCACGTACATCTTTGTCTTGGAGATGCTTTTGAAATGGGTGGCTTATGGCTTCAAGAAGTATTTCACCAATGCCTGGTGTTGGCTTGACTTTCTCATTGTAGATGTAAGTATCATTTTGCAATATCATGTTTCTTGTATTGGATTTTTTCATGTGAACGTGTTTGCTAGTGACTTTGCATTTGCAAAATGATGGCTATCACTTCGTTTCTGAGTAACAACCTTGGGTTAACTTAAAAGTAGATTGCCAGACTTGGTATTAGGCTGTGCATTCCCAGGAATGCGCGTGCCAGCATGCAAAAGACCACGCTGTATCATTACACAGAGGCGTTACCCTGCTAATTTGACTCAGGCTCCGTTTTCATCCGTAAGAAGACACTCTTTCCTTGAGCATTCAATGCCTGATTCCACACTCAGGACTAGCACAAGGTCTGGTTACCTCCGACTACTCTCCACATGACCTCGGCACACAAGTCTTTCAGCAGATTAGAGAAGTTATCCCTGGCATAGTTTCCTGGCAAGGCTGCCAGGGATGCATAACGGTATGTTCAGTACCATCTCCCAAGTATTTACAAGTGAAGGAGTCCAGAAGAAGGTGTGAATAGTCTCCTTGCCAGAGTGATTTCACCATTACAAAACCTTACAAAATGTTCCAAATCTTTGCAATATTGTGACACGTAGTTCTACTGAAAGGATAAAGCCTAGAATTAAGTAAATGTTATTCAAAAGGGAGCTTATGCTCCGAAAGTGTTGCTACTACCAGGCTTTTCTCCACCAAAGGTGTGTGTGATTTAGACACCCATCCAAAGGGAAAGGTTAAGGTTAAGGAAGGAAAAAGTTAGCACACCAAATCTAGAATTTCCCAAGGCTTGAGTGGGGATCTGTTCAGTTCATGAGAAGCCAGAAATACAACATCCTCCATATGAGATATAGCATATCACCATGTATCAATAAGGGAGGTGGTTTTCTTCCCAAAGCCATTTCTAATTTGCTTGAGTTGTAAGTGTGGAGGGCTGGCTGAGCTCTGTTATGACTGGAACTTATTAAACTTTTGAGAAATTATTTTTTCCCCATTTTACATCTGAACCTTCACTCAAGGGACAAACTGAACTTTCTTTGGCCCTGGTCCAGAAAAGCACTTCAATAGGACAATTTACTTGTTTGAAGTTATGGACATGTCTAAGTGCACTGCTGGATCAGAGCCTCTGGAATCTTCTCCAGAGCTTTAATAAATTGATTTATAAAAAGGAAGTTCTTTACATAAATTGGAGGTCATAAATTCCTCTTCATATACATGCTTGGAAACCTCTTAAAGGGAAGGCACGCATTTTTCACAGATTAGCTTCAATAGGAGGGGAAGGCCTGGTTTAATTAACTAACCACAAAAGTGGAAACCACAGGTTCCTAAATTATAGTCCAAATCGGAAAACTCTGCTTACTGTGGTTTTGGTCTTGTGACATGGCTTTTCTTTCTAAATTTCTCCATCTGGAAAACGGAGCTAATAAGAATTACAATATTATATGGGCTTCCAGGATTTTGTTGTTGTAGTTAATGTCCATAATGAGCTTCTGAAGACCAGGAGTGCTGGAAGAGGGCTGAATATTGTCACGACTATAAATAGGAGGGTCCTCCTGGCAGGAACAGTGGTTCGCCAGTGCATTCGTTGAAACAGTTTCAAGCTCTGCTCCACTTCAATATTAACGATTTCAAATGGGCTCACAGTTGTTATAAATATATATATTATGGTATGACATTTAATTAATGCTAGGGGGAGTGAAACTGAAATCAAGCTAAATCCTGCCCTCTGCTCCTTCCTGCTCGCTTGGAAGAGGAGCTGCTTTAGAACACGAAGTCAATATGCAACCCAGGAAGTTAGGTAGAGATTTGTCTTTTAATAATAGGGTTTATGAGAATAATGTCAGGTTGTAGCATCAGCCACAGTCAGGCTGGGCAAAGAGGATACACATCCCCTGCTGCAGATCCATGTGGCCTAAGACAGAGCTGCTGGAAGGAAAAGGTCCCTGAGATGCTCCATCTCCCCCGTAAATCCCTCCAAAGAAAGCTTTCTTATTCACCCAGTCCTTCTGTTTTCTTAGCATATATTTAAATGTTGTTTTTGCAAGTTCACTAAGCTAGGCAAAAATTGCCTCACCCTTGAGTTGTTTTAGTTAATTAATTGACTTTAGGAAATATCACATGCTTTGCTGTTCCCACTTAATAAAGCTTTTCCCTCTTTGCCCCTTTATGTTCTTCAAAGTCATTTTCCGATGCAGATTATGAGAAACCCATACTGTATTTTTAGCGGATTTAACAGATGCTCTTCTCCTACCCTATTGCTCACACACACCCTGCCACTCTGAATTGGCAGAGCAACATGCTGTCATTTCTACAGCACACTTTTTACTTGAATTTACATTTTCTTTTCCGTTCTTTGAGAAGCAAATCGCTGCAACTGAAATGCAGAAGGGAGTGAATGGATGAATTAGATGCTCCAAAAGAAGCAGATGAACCACTTGTCTGAGTTTCTCAAATTTATTTGTTTAAAATTATTCACTTAAAAATTCCTGATCTGCAAATTATTCATTAGCAGTTTGGTATCGGTATTCAAAATTCAAGCTGCGATGGCTGATTTTTCATTGGACATGTGAAACCATCTATCATCTGTGTTTTTTCATTGTACAAATGCAACTCAGAATCCTTTTTCTGCTGTGAATAATTCATAAAACCAGCTCAAAATCTGCAAGTATTTTTTAATTCTAAATGGGAAATGAATACAGAGGGAATATAAGCATATTGCTGCAAAATTTGGGGTTTTTTTCCTTACCCTGCTCTTTGACGGACCTTTAACTGATTTGAGCCTGTGGAACAGCAAAGACTCCATCTCATAACTGTGGATTACGAAAGAAAATTCTGACTTGTACAGCCTAGACATCAAAACACACAGTAATCCACAAACCCAAAGCTATTTTTACTAGATGTAGAATCCCTAAAGGATGATCTCTGGTAATGGGCCTCTGTGCATCTCAAACAAAGCTTTTAAACACATTGCAGCACAATAAAAAGTCCTATCAACAACATTGCAGCAGATTTCTTTGGGAGGAAGAGAGGAAGGAAGCGAGGAATAACCTAACCACAAAATACAGGCTATTTCAACATAGGGTACATGGGAAAGATGCCATGAGATGCCTGCTGAAATATTGGACACTTGGAACAAAAAGCATTCATGTATATATGTGCAACAAGTCATCTCACAGTAAATAGCAACTACGCTGCTAGAAGTAACCCACGTTCACCCTGCTGCAGAGCTTCTCTGTGCTCATGAATTGGAGTGATGAGGACTGTAAATCCAGTTATTTTCAATGAGGGGAAAAATTGGAGACTGTAGTAATGAGGAAAACAAACAGACTAGTATATCTGAAGTTTAAGCAGATATCAATGTCACCATTGGGACTGGTGTTTATGCGCAAGCTTCTGTGTGAGGGTGCCCAGGCAAATATTTTCACAAAGAATAGATATTTGCCAAGCATTTATGCAATCAAAAACCTCTTCATACAAAGCAGATTAAAAGAGGAGCATGGGCTTGGCCTGGGATGAAGGAGTATGGAATTGCAAACGAACAGTTATGAAAACTCTTCCCAACTCGTTGTGCATGGTGATAGAGATGGGTATTTAAACAAGCAGCAGATAAACTCCACCATTTCTGCAAGCTGATATCATGATTGATTTTCCTTTCAATTATTTTCTCTGACCTATAAGTATTATTTTGAGTTTATCTCGCTTGAGCTTGAGCCAATTAATTCCAAGCTCTGTTCCAATCTCTGCTGGCAGTGGATGGATTATTCTGTTGCGGTGGTCAGTTCAAAGAAGGCATCAATCCAAAGCTTGGCATCACTCAAGCAAAAGCTTTTGGTTTGTGCATTACTGTGTGTTTTGATGCCTAGGCTATACAAGCCAGAATTTTCTTAAGTAATCCACTGCATCAGTGGTGATATTGCCATTGACAGGTTCTTTCCTACTTGATCACACCTTGTACACAGAGAAGACCAAGCTCCTGAAGAAGCTAGCTGTTGTGACAGAGCTCTCATGAGAGAAATATAATATCCCTGATTCATTAGCAAAGCTCAGGAAAAAAAAATTGCAGTCAAGTTGCATTGCCTGCCTTATACACAAATAAAAAACAAACAAACAAACAAAAAACTCTTAAATGGGCACTAGTATCGTCACTCTACAAAGTCCATTATCAGAAATCCATCATCTCCATTGCAGCTGTGGGGTCTGTTTTAATTGACCAAAATCAGTTCAAATCCAGGCTTAAAGGAACCTGATTATCATTTACTGCTTTTGGAGACACAGGAGGTGAGGGCTTCACAGCAAATTCTTTCAAACACTATGACATCTTCCTAAGGTGCGGTGATGGGTAAAAGATATTTTCTTAAGTGATTGCTGTCTTAAAGATGGTGACATCCTCTTTCTTTGCAGATCATCCTCAGCACTGGGCCCAAACACCATGGGCTGCAGCAGCCATGGGAAGATGATCTAGTGCACAGCTTTTGCCCAAATAGCCCACCAATTCACTCTAGTTGAGCTACCAGTGAGAAAAACCAGCTTCTTCCATCCCTTTCTCCCTGCCAGCCCGTTCTGCCACTGTGGAGGCAGGAGGCTCACAACAGGTTAAGCAGTTCAGCTTAGCTGCAGAAGAGATCAAGCCGGGCTCAGCAACAGATTTTGTGGTCAGATTTCTTAAAAGAGTTATTCACCAAATCCACTAGGCAGGATCTTGTGAAAGCAGTGGATGTGAAATAACCTAAATAAGCTCTAATCTTTTAATTTTTTCTTTCTTTTTTTTTTTTTTTTTCTTTTGTGAATGGAGAAACATGAATATATTTCTGTGATTTGCCTGGAGCTTCTGAGTTTGTACTTAGAGATGTGTATCCCCCATCAAGCAACAGTCTGCTCCAAACTTCTTATTTGCTTGGATGAGAACAGCTCATGGATGTTCAATCCATGTTCAATCAATTAAATACACCATCATTTTCACTGAATGCTTAAGAAATACAGACATGGCATTTTCCAGGATAGTTTCCTAAAAAGTGCCTCCTCTAAGA